CAGAGGGCAGGGAGTCCTGGGGTGTTCAGGGTTCCCAGGGGTTCTCTTCCCTTTTTCTAGGACCCTGGCATTTCAGGGTCAGGTTGTTCAAATGATGTGCAATTGGGGTTGACAAGGAAGAGGGGAGACAGAGAAGAGAATAAAGAGTAGGGAGGCTCAGAATTCCTCTTTGGTCTCCCCAAATTATCCACCACAGATACTGACTTGAAGTATCCCACAGGACACCCCTACTCTCCACCCTGGCCCCTGGGCCTCTCACCATCATAAAGCTCAGATGTCATGGGCTCAAAGACCAGCTCCGGGGCTACCTCCATCAGCACCAGGGCGGCCTCCAGGTTGTCATATAGGGCTGCCACGTGCAGTGCCGTCTCCCCCAGTGCTCCTGGCATTCATGGAGAGAACAGTCATATGGCCTCTGTGGGGCAGGGGAATCAGGACAATACTCAGGGGCCCACAGCACAAGGCCCTGGGCTCTCCCGGGAAGCCTCATGTGTGGGGCCCTGCTCCTCACCTCTCTGATGCACCTCACAGGCCTCATACTTGAGCAGCTTGTTCAGAGCATGGACATCATTCTCTTTGGCAGCCAGAAGGAGAGGAGACTCCCAGATCCTACAGGGAAATGACATGAGAAAGGTGGATACAGTGACCATGCCCACATGAGGAACGAGGGGCAAGGGCCTTGCTCCCTCCCATGTGGACATGTGCCTCGGCAGCAGTAAAGGCCCAGGTCCTCGATCCAGGCAGATCGGGCACTAGAGTGCAAGGTCAACTGTTGTCTTTTCTCCTGACGGTCAGTTACCACAAAGCAACTTTTTGCCATTTGGCTTGTGTGGGAGACTGTCAGTGACTCCTTCCCTTCCCCCCAGGTGCTGGGGCTAGAATGTGCAGAGTGTGAATGTCTTATCTGTGCATTTCAAGGTAAGGAGGGAGGGATTTTACTCAAGCACGCATTCACCTCCTGACCAGTTTACCTTGGAAGCGGAACTGTTTTAGCCTCACCAGGTGCCCAGAGATTGCCCTCTAGGATAAGCTTTGTTTTGCAGGCACTAGGGGTACAAGGAGTTCCTCTCTCATGTTTGCGGAGGAAGGCGATATGCAGAGGGTTTTCTCCTGTTGCCTGAAGCTCTGCATACCTGACCTTCTCAACAAAACCCTTTGATCCTGCTGCTTTTCTCCCTACAATAGCATCTTCAAGATTCAATCGCAAAGTAACAGTGGCCCCTAAGAAAAAAAGCCTGGCTCTAGGCTTCCCTTTCTCCTGGGTGCTCATTTATTCAATCATTCATGTTCTCTCTCTCTCTCTCTCTCTCTCTCTCTCATTCCATCTTAATCTCTGAAGCCTTCCTTCTTCCAAAGTAACAGTGGCCCCTAAGAAAAAAAGCCTGGCTCTAGGCTTCCCTTTCTCCTGGGTGCTCATTTATTCAATCATTCATGCTCTCTCTCTCTCTCTCTCTCTCTCTCTCTCATTCCATCTTAATCTCTGAAGCCTTCCTTCTTAAAGTGGACCTCTGCATCATCAATCGGCATCACATGAGTGCTTATGAGACAGGTAGCTGTCGGGCCCACCCTTTGCCCTAGTAACTCAGAATCTGCAGTCTAAGAAGATCCCCAGCCGACTCCCATGCACATTGAAGTTTGAGAAGAATTGCTGCCCCACTAGTTGTTTGAGCGCGGCCCCTGCATGTGAAACACCTGTGGTAATAATACATCAGCGGCAAGCTCAGGAATGTCCATTTTCTAACAGTGCACATTACAGTTTGGAAAGCAATGGTCTCCATCATTCGCAGACCAGCTATCTATAGGACCTTAGACACTACCTTATTTTCTCTATTAGTACATATGAAGATGTAAAATATGACCAACAATGACAGATGCAGAGAAACTAGAGAGTCCAGTTTGGAGGATTCATTGAATTTCATGTGGATCTGAATGTTCTCATTCTGCCCTCTGACCCTTCTCTGGTTTACCCAATTTTGATTTCATGGATTTTTTTTCTGGTCCCTAAGTCAGATTATAGTCTCTCCTTGACTTATCATGGCTTCTTGCTTGTTTTAGGCAAAATCATCTTCTCTGACTCCCCAGATCATCTCTCAAGTCTTATTTCTGAAAATAACTAAAATTCTATTTTAAAATCAGAACTTACCCCAGCTAAGACACATGAGTCCCTTTTATTCAATTTTCTTTCTGCTTGGAGTCATTTGGTCTTTCTATGGGAGGGAATAAAATAACCCCATTTATCCATAGATGGCCACTTATGTGACATACAAAAAGACATAGGCAGGAGCTCACGTCCTCAAGTGCTAGCAGTGGTAAGAAATCTGCTCCAAGAGCTGGGGGTGGGAGGGCGATCAGGAAAGGAGAAATGAGCTCACACAGCTCTTCTACCCAAAACCCCTGGTCTCCCCACTTGGCATGTGGCAGCCACCAGGTCCTGTCAGTCAACATTGAAAGTTCTCTCTCCATCAGTTCCTACTAACCCTCATTCATTCATGTCCTCATCTCCAGCCTAAGGTTAGCAAACTATTCTCCTAATTAGTTTCCATGCACCTTATCTACCCCCAGTCCATCCTTCTCAGTACTGCCAAGATAATCTTTCTAAATGGCAAATGCAAGTACAGCTTGCAAAAGTTGATTGGTCCTGAAATGCATGATGATAGGGATCAAGGAGGCCCTTTACGTTCCTTGTGCAACCACTTTTCCACCCTCTGTCCTTTCCGCTCATTCTTCATACCCGACATTTAGGTCTCACCATGTGCCTCAGCACTGCAGAGCACACCATTTTCCTGATGCCTGCAGTCTAGGAGGGCTCATTCCTCCGAGAACCCAGCAACCCCACCCATCAATTGTTGGTTGTCTATTCTGTCCTCCCTGTGCCTGGGAATATGCCTAGCATGGAGCAGATGCTCACTAACACTATGTGCAGAATAAATTATCCAGTAGCAATGGCAAAACGTGGTTTGGCTTTCTTGCCCCTCCTAGTATCGCCATCCACTACCCTCTAAGCCAACCCTAAGCAAACATATCATCCCAGTGGAAAATAGTATGCTTAGTATGCAAACACAGCTGCAAAACAAGTTTTCTACACTCCTTTTACCACCACCATCCAACAATTCATCTAAACCCCTCTTCCATGGATATTCTAGAGCCAGCACTAAGATGGGGGAAAAAAATTAACGCTTTCCCCAGCATCACACACACACATACACACCCTCCCCCAGGAGGTTTTTCACTCTCTCCTTGGGCCTTACTTTTATTTCAGCATCTTTTGGTGTGTGTTATAATGAGTGGTTGTCTCTTCCTTGTACACTAGGGGTCCAAGGGCAGAGATCAGCCACTTACTCATCTTTGTATCTCTTCCCTGTCCCCTGCCCTCCTCCAATTAGCTCCTGGTTTTGTTGACCAAATGTGTGAAAGGTTAACTGCAGAGCTAGAAATGGATCCCAGGGGGTGCCTCACCCAGGTCCAGAGCTCTGCTTCCTGCTCCCTAAGATATGAGTGGGGGTGTTGTCAGCAGCAGGCCGAGACTTCCCTTTTGGTCTGTATGCATTTCTGAAGTCTCTAAGTGTCACCCACAAACCTCCATTCCCTTTCTGTTCCTTTTCTTGCCTCTGTGGTTGCCTTAGTGGGCCTAGGGAGGACGAGGAGCTACTGTCAGACCTAGGGGTGCCATATGTACTAGATAAAAATACAGGATGCTTAATTAAATCGAATTTTAGACATACAACCATTTTATTTATTTATTTATTTTAGTATAAGTATTTCCCATACGATATTTGGGACATACTTATAACAACTTATTCATTGTTTATCTGAAATTCAAATCAAACTGAATATCCTGTATTTTATCTGTCAGCCTAGTCAGACCACACCCTGTGTGAAGAACCAGCTTATGGCCTAATCCAGGAAGGTTTGTAGAGAACTGGCCTCCTCTGTTTGCAAACTCCAGGATCCAGCAAAAAGGGTGGCCAGCGCGTGGATGGGTTTCAAGAGTATCAGGCAGAGTCATTACTTGCAGTGACGTCATAGGACCACAGGGGACAGCAGAAAAAGCCCTAGTTCACGTTCTTGGCAGTAAGGCAGACCCCAAGACACCTGAGTATAGAGTATCATCGGGTCCCCTAAAGAAGGTACATGGAGCAGACCAACACAGAGATGTTTGTGCTTGGCGCACAAGTAGTTTCTTAAGTGGCAGCCCATCAGAGGAGTTTAGATCACAATTGGGAGGGAAGGGGTGCTACCGGGATCTAGTGCACAGAGGGCAGGGACACTGCTAAAGATCCTGCATAGGACAGTCTCCCACAACCAAGAATTATCCTGCCCAAAACATCAATAGTGCCAAGAGGGAGAAACCTTCATTCAGAGGAACAATTATTCATAATGCACTTTAAAAAAAGAATACTTTACACTAAAAATAATTAGAAATTCCCTATACGTAAAAAATGTTTTCTGACAGATTGTTAAATACTCAACCAAGGGAGAAACAAAAAGGTGAAGTCTTTTAAGCTCTCAGTGATTAAGTAGCAAAAAGAACTCATAGTACAAATCTGAAATTATAACAATACAAAAGGTATTTCCAGGCTCTAGAATGTTTTATTTTACTGGGCAATTAATTATAAAACTGAACAAGTCTAGTTCAGTCTTACGGTGGAAACCTAACTATGGGGTTCCTGGCACAGAACCTAGCACATTTTTTGTTGCGTAAATGAATCGATGATCTCCCCCTCAGGGCCACCAAACAAAACTCTCTGACTTCCCCATCCCTGTGCCCTCCACCCCAGTCCGTCCTCTGCTCCCCTGTTCTTGTGGATATGTATGTCTCTGTGTGCCATGTACATGAGTCAAGTTTTGTTTTCATTTGCTGAGAAGCAAGGCAGGATCAGGAGTCTTGAGGAAAGCTCAAACAGAATTTTAGAGCTAGCAAATCCCCAGAGATGGAGTCTGATCTGTTCATGCAACAGATGAAGAAAGAGGCCAGAGATCTGAAGTGACTTGTCCAAGCAAGTCAGAGACAGAGCTGGGACACATGTCCCATTTACCATTTCTCTGTGTTAATCAGGATTGGAAGAGGGGTTAGAGAAGACACAGGGAACATGCATGCACTCCACTGGTGCCTCCACAAGCACGCTCCAGGGTTAGCCTGCCCTCTGGGTGGGGGTGGCAGTACACAGTGTGGCTGCTCAGAGCACGTGCTCCAGGTGGACACAATTCTGTTAGGAGGAAGTTCACAGCCCCTCTAACTCCTGCCTTCATTGAGAGTTGCCTTTTTACTGTTTGTTTGTTATCACAATAATCCCATTTGTTAAATTTCCTTCTCAGTTTTCAAAGCAGCATCTCACTTATCACTTTTGCTCTTTATAACCCTCTAACACTGAATAATTCTCCCATTTTTCAGAAAAGGAAACTGAGGCAGCATGGCTAAATTACTGCCTGAAGATCACACAGAGTTGAAGGTAGAAAGCTTGGCCAAGAACCTAGCTCCAGGCTCTTGCCACTAAATTATGTGGTTTTTCTAGTTTTATGACTCCTCCTGATCTTTACTGGGGTCAGGGGGCAGGCAGAGAGCAGTGACCACAGATGAAGGAAAAAGCAGTCATGTGTAGGGAGGAGGCATACACTGAGCACTTGTGGGCCACCTCCTTCCAGCTTGGGCTCCTGGCAGTGGGACGAGGAAGCCAAATTTTACTGGGGTCAGGGGGCAGGCAGAGAGCAGTGACCACAGATGAAGGAAAAAGCAGTCATGTGTAGGGAGGAGGCATACATTGAGCACTTGTGGGCCACCTCCTTCCAGCTTGGGCTCCTGGCAGTGGGACGAGGAAGCCAAAGCCCTGGGGAAAGTGGCTATTTCAGAGACTTGGAGTCGGGCTGCCTGTCTAACTGCTGCAACTCCTATCACGTAAATAGATGCATGTGCATACAAGTAGGCACGTGTGTGTGAATCTACCAAGGCAGGAGTGTGTAATGCACTGCAGAGTCCCAGGGCTTACTTTTCCCAGACACTTTAATCCACACATACTCATACTTGTAAATTATCTAACTAACCATAGGAAAACCCCCAGTGGGCACTGCCTTCCTTCCAAACTGCTCCTGGGGGAGATGAAGTACAGCATGGGGGGCTGAGGGAGAGTCAGGTTAGGTGGCCTCTGTGAGGCTGCCTGGCACACCCCACACCAGCTGAAAACAGATAACGCTGTGGCTTCCTCCTCTATGTTTCTGTAACAATCATTTACACCTTTCTTCTGACGTTCACCAAGATCACCTCCAACCCAAATATATGCATATTGGTACATTTTGCCCATCA